GTCTAACTTTTGTTCTGATTGTTTGTTTGTTGCATTTATCTGAATTAATAGATCTATTTTTGGGAGTGATACAATTAGAAATAAGAATTATGTTTGGATCAAATTATATTAAGAAAAAATTTGTCTGTCTCCACTTATTTTAAAAGATTATATGAAAAACCCTTAAAGAAGGATTTAAGTAGTAGGAGAATGCCTCTAACACATCCTTGTGATAAAATAGCAGTTATTGAATAAAATCTTAAGAGAGTTAGGGATTACAGATAACCTAATTGCTACAGTTATAGATAACTCTATCAATTTTGTAAAGTACTGAATATGGTGATAAAATGCAAATTACAGCATTTTTTCAATTTTTAATTTTTACTTAAGATATGATGATCAAAAAAATCTTATCCAGGGAAATCAGTTGTGCCTGCTCACTTATTCTTAGTTGTTATTTAAGATTGTCTTCCTGCGATATCAAACTCAAAGTCTCTGATTAATGTTAATTACTTCCAAATGTAGTATTGAACGAATCGGTATTTTCATTTTTCTTTATTAAATCGTCATTGCCAACGTTTCTAAAATATTAATTTTTTACCGAAACAAATCAAAGACGAACTACTTGTTTATTACCAATCATCAGTAATTAAAATTAACCAAAGAATTTGGTGAATTTACTATATAATGATAATGATGGGAAGATATATATAACTATGGGAAGCATGTAGAAAGCCCAAATCTTCAGTAAAATTATAGGTGCCAGGTTATCAGTTGAAAGTTTCGTGCATAACATGAAATAGTCTATATGATTATATGACTTTAATACTTCTCAAATATAATTCGAATTCAAATTTTTTATTTTAAAAAATTATACTACCCGATAACAATTAGAAAAGACAAATTTCAAGAGTAGAATAATACATCTTATTGAAAATTAGTGCTTACGTTATTTATGGTTAAGAGGAACTTAGATAAACTTAATTATTTAGGTTTGCAACATTATCTATCTTTATCAAAAGCTTTAAACGATGGAATGAGCAAAAGAATTAGATTTTTTTTTCTATGATGATGAATATAATGAGACATTTTTGTCATCTTTATCACACCCATACTTTAAGAATTTATGGATTTAATCGAATGATAAAAAAAACTTCAAAGTATATTATTAAGAGAAACCTGAGGTTTAATTAGTAGTGCGGGGTAGGATGGGACACTTTTCGATCAAATCTGAATAAATTCAATATTAAATAATCTGAATAAATTAAACATCTTCCTAATCCTCAAAGTATGATATATTAAAATAGTTAGTAGATATCTTATACAGACTATACTTTTTTTTAATAGTTTGAAAAATTTTTTTTGGACTAATCTTGCCATACACTGGGAAGGGTCCATAGGCGATAGTTGGCCCCACTAAAGAAATGGGTGTTTAAATATGAAATTAAATTCTTTTTTTGATGTGTAATACTAGCTTAAAGTATAATAATTTATCGATTATAATCATAATACACAAATTAAATAGAATTTAAAGATTTAGGAATTTTAAGAGAAATTTTTATAAAATTAAAATAAGATATTATTTAAAATATATATTATAAAAAAATTAATATTTTTGATTGTTAAATATTCATTTGTTATTTGCATTTATTTTATTCAAAATAAAAAATAAACATGCAATAATTAATAGGGACAACATATCTCTGACCAACCATCCCCATGCCCTCCAATTTTACATGCTATTTAGAATCGTATTAATTCATGCTTAATCATTTTGAAAAATTATCAGATTAAAAAAATAGGGTATCTTTCTTAAAATCTTTTCATTAAGATTTTCGAAGCATTGTTTATAAATCTAAACGATAAAATTCAACTTATTTTTGTTTGGCATGTAAAACCTTTCCTCTGTAAAAATAAAATATTAAATATTATTCAAATAGCTAATAAAAAAATGATAATTATTCTTTTAGTAAAACAAAAATTTCTGAGTTTAATAATAAAAATAACATTGACCTAGAGGTTTTGAGTTATCCTAAAGAAAGATCGTAGAAATACGTTAAAAACAATTATTTTTAAAAAAATAGTCAGCTCCAGTTGGAAAGTTATTAAACGGCAAAGGCTTAATGATAAATTATTTAAAAAAATTAATTATTTAATAAAATATGCTATTAATTCATTCAAAATTTATTTAAATACTCTTTATTGTAAATTCAGTTCCAAAGTCTGTTGCTTTTCCAATGTTATGAATGGGTTAAAATTATTAATAAAATGTTTGATTATGTAATCCACCTCATCATTAAATATGATAATTTGAAATATTTAATTAATTATTGTAAATATTTTTTTTTTATAAAATGAGTTATATTACTAAAAATCTCAAATAAATGAATCTTTTCTCTAATTATATACTTTTGTTATTGTCTTCACATAATTATATTAATGTTATTTTATTCTTATACTTAACTATTCTTATTTAATAGGTAATGATCATTTGTGACAACTTTAGCAAAAGATACAAATATCTTATTCTTAAAATTTTTTTTATATATATACTAGTTCTTATGACTTAGGGATTAAATGGTTAATGAATAGCCAATGAAATAGTCATAGAAGGAACTATCTCCGAGGATTGGCAAAGAAGTTTAATTATCCCAAAGGGGAAAGGTAATCCTTTAGATTGCGGGTCTTACAGAGCTATTAAACTCTTGGAACATGCAATGAAGGTATTTGAGAGGTGTTAGAGAAGCGGATAAGGGAACAAACTAAAATTGATGAAATGCAGTTTGGTTTTACATCGGGGAAAGGCACGACAGATGCAATTTTTGTGAGACAAATACAGGAGTATCTTGCGAAGGAAAAGAAACTATACTATGCGTTTGTTGATTTGGAGAAAGCAGTTGACAGGGTGCCGCGCTAGGTTATTAGATGGGCCTTGAGAAAATTAGGCTTGGAAGAATGGTTGTTTATGGCAGTGATGGCAATGTATGTGGGAGCACAAACTGCGGTATGGCGGATGATGGAGAGAGTGAAAGCTTTGAAGTGAAAGTAGGACTTCATCAAGGATCCGTGCTGAGTCCATTATTATTTATCTTATTAGTGGATGTGGTGGCTAGAGAAATGCGTGAAGGACTTCCCTGAGAGCTATTAAGTGCAGATGACTTTGTATAGCAGTGAGGAAGAATGAGGGATAAAATTAGTAATGGCTATGGAAGCAAAGGGCTTGAAAATAAATGCAGCAAGAACAAAGGTGATGATTGATGGGGAAAATCTAAAGATGGAGGATGGTGTATGTGGAAAAGAAGTATAGACAGAAATTCAAACCAATACACCAGATGCCAGAGATGGGTGTATAAAGATGCCGCGGGGAAAAAAAGGTGTGATGTTAGCAAGAATGACCTTTATTTGTAGAAAGTGCATAAACATAATAATGATAACTAAGAAAATGGTGTTCTGGATATTGTCAATTGGTTAACCCTGGGAAAAGTGAATAAATTTGTTATTTGGGTGATATACTAAACGCAGATGGTAGTGTAGGTTCTTCCGTTGTGCAAGGGTCAGACAAGCATAGAAGAAGTTCAGAGTGATGTCGTCGATTTTAACGAATAAAAACGTCTATCTGAAGTTAAAGCGGAAAACTTAAGCTGTATGAGGAGTTGTATAGCTTATGGCGGTAAAACATGGGCAATGAAAGCGGCCCACGAAGCCAAATTGGAAAAAAGGAGATAAGGATGATTAGATGGATGTGCTAGATATCTCTGAGAGAGAAAGAAAATATCAAGGAATTGCGGGCAAGATTGGGAATAGAAATGATTTGAGTGATAGTGCGACGAAATGTCTAAGATGGTTAGGGCATGAGGAACGTATAACAGAAGATGACTGGGTAAAGAGATGCACCTTAATGGAAGTAGGAGGATCCGTGGACAAATGTGATAGCGGCGGATATGAAACATGAATCTTACAAATATTGATGAAAATCAGAGATAAAATTGACCTACGGGTAAACCTGGAAATAGCCATAAAACGGAGAAGAAGAAAAAGTATCTGCATCTAAGATACTTTTTTGCAAAGAATCTATATCTAGATTCTCTTTTTAAGGACCTGACAAACTTTATGTGCTATTAATTTAATAACTTTATAAGTATTAAAGGAGAGATATAAAGGATGAATTTATATTTATATCAATGGTCCGGATGTAAAATCAAACTTCCTTTAAAAAAAGTTTAAAAACTACAAGAAAGATAAAATTGTAAATACATACACAAGGCCTAAAAAATATTATATTTAATAAACCGGGCATGGACGGCCAAATAAAAATTGGATCGGGTATAAAAAATCGACCTTTCAGATTTCTTATTAAATATCAAAACTTAATAGTGAGATATAAATTTAATTATTTTTTTACAACCGAGTGTGGGGGGTATATCTTTCCTAGATCTCTATAAAATTAGTTTTTAAGGTCTAGGGGAGACTTGTCTTTTTTTAAATGAAATTATCTTTAAAATCATCCATAATCTGAAAATTTAGAAGTTAAAAAATATCATATCCTCAAAATTTTATTTAAAAAAAGATTGATTTTTCAAGAAATTTGATATTTAAATTTAGAATAATATATGTATATTCTAACTTTTTTGTGCTTTATCAATTTATATGAATAAATTATTATACAAAAAATTTCATGTAAAAACTTTACTTTCTAATTATTATTATTATTTTATTCTTAAAAGAATATCCCTCTCTAATATTCTGGCTAATTCCAAAAAAATTATAACTGTTTATTATTATAAATAATCGATTTTATTTGATCACTTATTATATTACCTGAAAATAGAACATTAAATGTATTCAATAATACCCGAGACAATTACAATATAAATATTATATAATTTTTTATATAAGAGATAATTTTTTATAAATTTATAAATATTTTATAATGTACCATCTATTGTAAGTTGTAAAAAATAAAAATTTTTACTATATAAATAACATTTTATTATTATTTATTTGATTTGATCAATAATGTAGTTTATTATAAATTTCTTAAAAAAAAGATATCTTTCCATATTTTTCTTAAAATTTATAAATTTTATAAAGACCTAATTCTGCATGTTTAAGGTAAAAAAAAATATTATATACAGTTCTTTTATTTTATTTTATGAGATATTATGCTTTTAACCAATACTTTAATGAAGAAATTGCTTATCCATTGAGAAGTAATTTATTGGTATAGTTTTAACATTTTTTATTTAGAAGCCTAAAATTTTGTGGAAATAGGCAGCTTTGCACTATTGAATAATCATATTAATAATGGAAAAATGACTTATTCCATAATGTCTAGCTACTCGTAAACAATTTTGCTAAGGCACATGCATGATTTATTTGACAAAAAAAGAGTATTTTCTCTGTTTGGTTTTCAGAGGTATAGCATTTCTTTACCATTTTTATGGGCTCTAGTTTTACACTGATTTAGATATCTTTAAATTATAAATTCCTGCTTGACACGCGCAATGTAGACTTTCACTTATTTTATCATCGTGTACATTGATTAGATACTGATTACTGTAAACTTAAAATATTTATAATGTCAAAAACAATTTCAAAAGAAGTAAAACAGAACATTAACTATGGATGAGAATTTGATGGCATTGTGCTTTCTAATACCCCCCCCCCCCCTCTATCCCAATGGAATGTGTAATAACTTTATAAATTTACCTTTTTAAAATTTTATAGTATTAGAAGTACAATTCTAATTGAAAAATAAGCAATTATGGCATAAGTTGGTTCCTTTTTATTTTTTTATGACAATTCATATATATAAATTTCTATTATGTTTATTTTATATTTATAATATTATTTGCTGAATATTATTGATATGATTTTTATGGGCTTGTCTAAAACATCGACTTACCAATAACTTAAGTTAAAATAATAATATTCGTTTTTTAAAATTAATTTTATTACATTTTTATTCAATTAAATATTTAATAAGTAAATTGGCAAAATATATCTTATATAATTTTAATATTAATACATTTAACATTACTTAGTATTCCAATTTTTTAGATTTTATTGATTCTCAAATATGCCGCATAGCATAGTAGCAAACATAAAATATAAACTCGAAAATAAAATTAGATTTATTATATGACTCATTCTCAAAAATAGCTTGGTTGGTTGTATAAATTTTGCCATATGGGAAAACAATTGCCATTTATATTACAAAAAAGTATTAAATTTATTTCCTTATCTTTTATAAAAAGAATGACAAAAAAAGAATAAATTACTATTGTTTTATTTTACTTAACACGGCGAATTACAGACATCTACTCCCTCTTGCCAAACAGAAAAAGTAGAATAATTTATTTGTGTCAAAACATTTAATAAGGTTAAGTAGGAACATAACATACAATTATAAGATATATAAAGAGATTAGTTATATAGTGTTCAGGATATCGAACAGATAAGCATAATAATTCAGCCCCATTCCGGTTTTCAGTTTAAAAATTTTAAACAGTTTAGTTCTATTCTCGTTATTTTTAAACAAATCATATAGGTTCATTTCGGTTTATAAATCCATCTGTTCTTTCGATTCCTATAAGTTTTTGACTTTTAAAATTAGTTATCATATCATAGGTCAGGATTTTGCTAGGCTTTTGCTATGTTAGATTTTTATTAATATAATTTAGGTTTTTTACTTTTTTTATAAAAAAAAATTTTCCTAAAAATTGAAAGTCGTTATTTTCATTAACTTATACTAATTTTTATTTCAAATTTTTGTTTATATCTAATGATATATTGTATAAATTTTTGTAGGAGAGGGAATGGGGTGGTAAGGAGGGGGGGTTATTAGCCTAAAACGATATTTGCGAGAACAGGCAAATTTTAGAAAGGAATTTCACTTTGCCCTTCCTCTGCTATGTATCATATTATTTATTCGCTTTTAGTAATCTAATAAAAAAATCTTAAAACTGCAACAAACAAAAGTTAAAGAAAATAAATTGAATTTCTTTAGTTTATTATGAAACATCCATAAGTAATAACAAATGTAAAATAACCATATATAAATTTGTCAGGCGCGTAGCCAGCGGGGGATATTATGATTGCTGAGTTCAAAATATAAGAAATTCCTATTAATTTTATATTTGCATACCTTGACTTGCAACCATCTCATCGTTCAGGTATTATAGGAGCAGTAGAAGAATATTATAAAATAATTCTCTTTATCCTATCTCTATTTTTTAGTGTTACTAAAAACTTCTATTTAGCCGATATTAAAAAGCACCTAGATTTAGTCAAAAATATTACTATTCCACGTTTCTAAGGAGAGTCAAAACCTTAGGCTAACTTTTACCGAAACTTTGAGGCTTATAGGTAATATTTTTGACTAAATTATTAAGTTATCAGTTTTTTAAAATCCGCGAAATTAAGATTTTTAACAATAATACCCTTTGGGGTAATTCTTAAAGTAAAATAAATGAAAAGATGTTGGTTCAATCAAAATTATCATATATCTTGACCACTATATGCAATAGCATATGCACAAGTGAAAGAACATTTTTTTCTTTAAGAAGAATCAAAAACTGACATTAAATATTGGTGTTGTTCTAGATTTCATCCAATTTACCTAATTTTCGAGATTCGGCAAAAAGAGGGCCAACTCTTTCTGCCATGATTTGGTGCGATCTTATAAATTTGTAAACATTTTAAATGCTCAAAAAATTTTCATTTTTGTTCAAAATATTTTCAGCAAATATTTATATTCAAGTGATTCATAGTATTATTCTCACTATTTTTAGCCCTTTCAGCAGATTCCAAAAATGGTGGAACCAAATTTTTAGAAAAAATTTCTCAGCGTCTGTGCATAAAATTGAATTTCGAATTAATTTACAGGATATTTAGGTATTAGTAATTGGAAATTATTTAGCCCCTAGCCCTTCATTTGCAAAATTTAAGATGCTCTAAAAATTTTTAAAAAATTTTTAAAAATTACACCCCCCCCCCCTCCTCTTCCCCATCCTACTCCCGATATTAAAAAAATTCCTGGCGATGCCCTTGATTTGTAAAAGAAAATTAATTTTAAAATACGAATCATTTAAAATAAATTTATAAATTTCAAAAATCATTATGAACTGGAACATGTACGAACATAATTGTTCTCTCTTTAAAAAATTTTCTATAATGGCCCATTTACGGGTATAGTTCAAAAAATTATAACGTTATACTTCGGTTTCGCGATTCGGTTCAAAATTCTGATTTATTTCGAATTAAGCCATATGTTCTTAATTTTATAAGCAAAAATCTTATATTTTAAATATAGTAAATATAATGATAAGCCTTATATTTAATTGGTTAATTTTTATTTATAATTTTAAATAATCTATATATTTCCTCCCATTAGCGCGAAGACTGAAGTAACATTTATCCTTCCTCCTCTTCTAATGGGAACATTTTTTTTATTAAAAAAAGGAAGATTATTAACATATAAGAGGCTTAAAAATAAATCGTATCCGCTATTCATTTATGAAATTTAAACGAGGTATGTTCTTTTTATATTAAAAAAATGAAGGTAACACTGGGGTGTCATTTTTTATTTTGTTATAAATTATCACTATAATTATGGATTTTTCTTTTCACAAAATTATTATACCATCATTTTTACAATTTTATATGGGCAGATAATTAATAAGAAGATATAGAAATATGTTACACAAAAATATTTGTTATATTTTATAATATACTCTTATATACAAAATTGTTAAAGCATCGCGATACTATATCTGATATGTGTTTTTTTGCATTCATCAAAGGAATATCGGCAATGTTTTAGAATGTATCGTAGTTTTATCACCATTTTTATATATCGATATTAAAACCAATACATTCCCAATACTTTTTTTTTATCTTGAATTAAACTCTATTCTTTTTTTATACAAATTTAGATATAAAAAATAATGGTTAATTTTGAGTAAATTAAAATTATCAAGATAGTATAAATCACATATATCAATATATAATATTTAGATTAAGTTATACAATAAAAAATATGATATTAAAGCTTTGTACTTATCAGTGTGTCAACCTGGTCTAAACATAAACTTATTTGTCATATTTTCAATGAATGGATATTTAAAATCTTAATTATATAAAAATAAATAAATCTCTTACATTATTAATAAAATTTAATCAATGCGTGGAAGTAAAATATTTTAGCGATTTATATAGTAAACTTTATTTAGCCATGGAATTTTGACATTAATGTTTTATAATCTTTCAATTTGAATCAGTTGAATCAAAGAGAAAAATCTCACAAATATGAAAATATATAGATCTACTAAAAGAAATTTAATGATAAGATATCAAATCAAACAAGTGACCCAAAGAAAAATAAATAAAATATTACAACTGGGTAATAAATCATAGACCTTAATATTTTACAAAATGCCATTTGGAGCGATAATTTAGGATTCGAATTATCTATCAGAAATCTCTCAAGTCTTTTGACTTTAAATAAAAAAGACATGCTTCAGTTAAAAAAAACCTTACTAATCAAGCTTTTAAAATTCACATAAGATTTTAATGCTATCATATTAAATTTTTATTGGCGTAAAATAACGAATCTGATTTAAAACCCAGATTGTATTTTTTATTTGAGTCTTCACTATGTAGATGACCCTCAAAAAGGTTGATTAATAATCTTAAAAAAGCCTCTGATAATTTTATCGATGATCCTGTGTTAACCCCCCCCCCCCCAACCTACTAATGATGGAAGCCTTTGAGAAAGGGTTCACAATGTGATTTTTTGATTTAATAATAATTTTCAGAATAAAAAATTTTTAAATCGAGTATTAAATTATTAATAAGAATTGATTTATGGTTCAAAATAAAAAACATTATAAGCTTGATTACAATCGCAATTAATTTTTTCTGATAAATTGTTATATATTAAATTTTTTCTGAATTGCATACTAACTAAGTAACTATTTTAACATTTTCAAAACATTGCTTAAATATTTAAAATTTAAAAAAAGGATAATTAATATTGTATAAATACAATAAGCGATAGTTTTGTGCACATAATGCTTATTTGAATTTTTCTTCAAAAATAAAATATCCTGATATTTTTTCTCAATTGTATTGATTTTATTCCTGACGTGCAATGAAAATATAAACCCCCTGGATTAAAAAAAGTAGCAGATACTCTCAATGCCATCAATTTTTAATAAAATAGATAATCCTTTTCTTGGTTTGAAGAAAATATGAAGGAATAAGATATATGTGTACTATTAATAAAATTTAATCATAATATTGAAATTAAAATATTTTCCCTAGAATCTTACAGAGTCCGGGACGGGCCGTAATATCATAAATTGAATATTAGCTCTTTGGACTGCCCGAAATTTTTTTTCATATCTATTCTTTCTTTCACCTTAATTGAATATCACAATTAAAAAATGAATTTTAAAAAAAAGCAAGAAAAGATTTTAAAAAGTGATCTGAATGGCAAGGAGTTGTCAAAAAATTAAATGCTATGCAGTGAAGTCTCGCTATAGAGAACTCTATCTAACTTTCGTTATTGTAAACCAAATCTCAAATAATATTCATCTTTCTATTTCATGATGTTTTGTTATAGGAAGCTTCAATTTTTCAAAAAAATACAATATATATAAAGAAAGTATCTTGATATTGCTTACAAATTGGGCAGAAACGTTTAGGCCGTGTCCCTGACTCATCTTATTTCTAAACAAAAATCTATGTAACCGTCTTTATAGATTCTTCTAACCAGAATAAAAAGGAAGAGGCTATTTAGATTCAGTACAGACTTAAAACAAAATAAGAATAGTATGTCCTTGTTCAAAATCTGAATAGGTTAATCTAAACAGAAATAAGTTTCAAAAATAAGAAAACCAGAACACGGCCTGCATTGTGTTAGAAAAAACGCTTGAAGTAATATATTATTTTAAATGTGAATGAAAAGTAATCAATTTTGTAATTTTTATATAAAAATAATAATATGAGTTTGATTATATTTGAATGAATTGAGAATAAAATGTTCATAGAAAATGGAAGTTTAAATATTGGCAATGGTTCAACCTTGGGAAAAGTGGAAAGTTTTGTTGTTAGGGTGACATGCTAAATGAGATGTAGATTTTTTACGTTTTTTATAAATTATGTTAAATATTTATATTTAGTATATATCTTTCAGTAAATATATTTAAATATAACTGCTTTTTAAATAAATATTGTTAATGAAATGTAACTAGAAATTAGTGTTGTTAAACTGCTCAATTTTAATCAATTATTAAAAATGGCTAATTCGATATTTCCCTTAGAAAGATATTAAGCAAGCCTGAAAATTTTGCTCATCGATAGTAGAAAAATTTGGACATTTAATCTCGAGGATTAGCAATATTTTTCGGGCTAAAGTATTGAATTAGACGTATGTTTTTAAAAATTGGCTCAAATCGAGCCGTTATACCAGAAATTGTAATTGTTTATATTTTTTGAAATGTATAATGACAAAAATAAATAGTTATATTTTAAAATTAAATATTTACATACTATTTCTCAATAGATCAGAATTGAATAACCGAAGCTCATTATTATCTTTTCTATATATAAAATTGAGTTTAACTTATCTAAAGCGTTTGTTGAATATCTGCTAGGGGAGCTTATTATAAAGGAATATTCATACTCCTTTTAGTCATAAATTTTGGAAATAGAATATTGTTAGGCTCTAACAAAAATGCAATATAAACAAATTTTTATGAAAAATAATTACGTTATACATTTTTTTCAGTCAAATTATTTCTTTATTTAAATTGTTTTTCATTAAAATTCTTTTGATTAAAATGTATAAATCTTTAAATTATTTTGTATACTAAATATAGTGAAAATGGTAAGTTATAATTCATTTATAAAATAATCTGTAATAAAAAATTTTGGGAAAATGTAACTATTAATTAACTATAATACATTCAAAAATAACAAAAAGTAACTTTTAGCAAATCTAAAATATACAAAATACTAATATTTTTTCAGATAGAATTAAATAATTTATCATTTAATTGGTTTTTTTTACTAACCTCAACCAACAAATACACACAATTAGTTAAAATTAAATTTGAAAAAACAAGAAAAAAATATTTTGTCATACCAAATATAGTTAATAAAACTATATTGGGAATAGTATAAAGTTAAATATATCGGTTATAATTAATTAAATTTACCTCATCGGTTCGGGAATAGTTAACGTTCGCTCATGTTAACTAAAATTTTCTGTTATCTTAAAGATCAACTTTACTCTACCGGCTTATTTAGCAAGCATTTAGCAAAACTGGCAGCCACATTTTTAGATAACGAAGAACGCGACTAAATCCTGATATAAATGGTTTGTTACTCTTTCTTAATTATAACTGGAAATTGGTTTAAATCAATTTAATTTATTAAATGTTTCGTAATTTTTTTCATATGATATTAAATAGAAAAAAATATATCATTAAATAATCAGAATTATTTCACAATATTTAAATTTATTTTAGTTTGAAATATATTTCTTTCCATTGATAAAATCAGGCCACGCCCCGACATGAGGAGAAATATTTTCGCAGGTAAAAAAAATAGTTATTTTCAGTATAAGTTGTTACTGAACTTATAATCCCCCTTCTTCCAACTTCTTGTCATATTTTGAGCTCTCAATAATTTGAGCGCTTTTCTGATTATGAGCATATTTTTGATCATTTTCTCAATAAAGATTATTTTTTTAAAATTAAATTTAAGCTCAGGGGATTACGATAATGCCTCAATTAGATAGAAAATTGATTGCCATGCATCATGTCCTGATTGGTATATTTTTTATTTAAGTCCCTATCTAGGTTGTTTCAAGTATTTATTGATTAGCAAAGTATATATAAAACAATATGTGCTAAAGTCGATAGACATGTTAATGGAGTATTATACTCATATTTAGATATTATAATATATTATAGATCTTATTAACCTATTACAAAGAATAAACAAAAAATTATAGATCTCTCTATTAATATTTCCTTTTTATGTAAAATTGACGTATACCCTACTGTTCCTACCTGCCAATGTTAAAGAGGGGTAAAGTTTAAACAAATATAGGAATCAGTTTTTATAAAAATCATCTAATTATTATTTTAATATTTCCTTTGATGCAAAATTGGCTTAATCGTTTGTTCAAATCATAGGCAACGATTGGGAAGAGGGGGGGGGGCGGTTCAATATGAAAGGATAATGAATCCCCTACCATTTCCAAAAAAAGACAAACAAGCAAAATAAGAAAATGTTTTAGTAATGATAGCAAATTAATGCATTCAGCATATTATGTACAAATGCATAAAATAGTTAAGAATGATAAAAACGAAAACCTTCGCTCCTAATAAATTTCTCTTATCATTATATTATGGATAATAACAACGCTTAGATAAAATATAAAACACTATAATTAATACTCTAATTATGAGCTTAAAAATATTATCCATTTTTTTAAAAAAAAATTGAAGTTTTAATAAAATCAATAATTTCAAAATTTTAATGATTGAATAATATTAGGCATAATTGTAAAGTTTAAAAATTTTTTTTTATAAATACTTGTATATATTTAATATTCAAATAATTTTTTTTAAGAATGAATGAGTTAGTCGATGTATATGCAAGACCTATTATAATAAAGATAATAATTATTTTTTTAAATGGAATGGTTTAAAAGTTATACCGAAATATTCGACTAAAACAAATTTGTATTATTATATAATATTAACAATTCATTTAAAATTAAACAATTTAGAATCAAGAATCTTAATGGAGATATGAAGCTTTATTTCAATTTACTTTTTTTATTGATTATAGAATAAGCGGATGTTGGTTCTGTCGCTCAAAAATTTGGATTTGATATTAAAAAAAATTCCATAATTACATGGAATAGAAAACTATTCGTTTTATCAGCCCACATATTATTCCTTGAACATAATTTCCCACATTCTTGAGAACACATTATATATAATCATTCCATTATCACCAAAGCGGTTCTAATCTATGTTACCTTCGAGTTTTAATTATTCCAGTGTATCAAAAAATATTCATTTTATTAATAAACTAGCATCGATATATTCGAAGAATTTACAAAAATATAACTTTAATGACTCTTATAGAGGATTACAAATATTGAACAATAATTTTACCCGAAATTCGGTAAATTTTGACCCATATTTATCAAATAGTGATAAAGCTATAGATTACCCGTATGCTCTCTCACAGAATCCCTTGATTCAAATTGCATTTTATTTCATATATTTCGCTATATTTATAGTAGCAGTCTCGGGAAACTCTTTGGTATTATATGTTGTTTCTCGGAACACTTTTATGCAAACGCCGACCAACATATTTATAACAAATTTAGCTGCGTCCGATTTAATCATGAATTTTATAGCGGTGCCATTTACACCGTTGTCGGCATTTTTGGATTCATGGATTTTTGGTAAGGCATTATGTCATCTTGTACCTATGGTTCAAGGCTGCGCGGTTTACATATCAACACTAACTTTAACAGCCATAGCTTTAGATAGATATCAAGTCATGTTTCACCCCTTTGCAACACGCAAAAGTAAGACTTTATGTTTTATCATAATTCTTGGTATATGGTGCTTATCTATAACGTTAGTTGCTCCTCTCGCTATATTTATGAAACTCAAACCCAGTGATAATGGCATATATTTACATTGCGAAGAAAATTGGCCATTTGATGGACTGGAAAGAATATACTCTTTTACCACATTGATGTTCCAATACTTTGTGCCATTGTGTGTTATAGCGTATTGTTATATCAAGGTATCGGCAAAAATTGGGGAAAGGGTTGAAACAAAATCGAGAGCACTTACAAGGAATCGAAAACGTGAAAAAGAAGAATTGAAAAGGAAAGATAGAACGAACCGAATGTTGATAGCTATGGTGGCCATATTCGCATTTTGTTGGCTTCCAATTAATTTAATTCACGTGGTCAGTGGATTACGGCTAAAAATAATTGAGTGGAAATATTTTGTGCTAATATTTTTTGTGTGCCATGTAATTGCGATGAGTTCTACCTGTTACAATCCCATGATATACGCATGGATGAATGAGAACTTTAGAAAAGAGTTTAAAGCAGTTTTACCTTGTTTTAACAGAGAAAACGTATTGTCTAAATCGGTTTCATTTTTTAAATCCAATCATGGGCATTCAAAGGTTTCGGGAAATAGAATACCTAAAAGTAAAGATAACCATGAAATAAGACCCTTTATCCATTCGTCTTCTCAAAACTCGGCAGGTATGATTAGTTTCGCTGGATTTCCCATCAAAAATAGATCTAAGCATAAAACTTTTAACAGTAATAGTAGATCTTCTTTCTTTCTAAAATCCTGGAAAAAATGGAAATTAAAACCAACTAAACAAATTTTAAGTAAAAATCTATCAACTCTATCAGCTGAGTCACCTAAAAGTAGGGAAACTAATCAATCCTTAAAATTTAATCCCGTTAAAATGCATGGTTCTAATAAATATCAACACAAGAAGGTGACTCTAAGACTTCTTAATGACCACTCGCAATGTTCCGAAAATTCTAAGATCAACTTCATTTACGATAGTTTGAATTCCAAGAAAAATTCCATTAATATTGTTGACACTAAAAAAAAGAATTGTTTTGAAAATGGCCAAGATACAAAGCAATTATATTTCTCAGATCAATTATATTACATCCAAACCAGCTCAGAATTGTCAAGTAAATGCTTATAAATAATATATAATTACACCTATTAATATAATATTTATGGTATATATTATTAATTTTTTAAAAATGTTTTAAGCAGGCCATCTTATATAAGAAAATCTTTTTTAAAATATTGAGTTGATTCGTTATAGACGTCAATAAAGGGATCATAGTAAAATATATAATATAAAATTTATAATTTAAATTTATGAATGGTTTGGATTGAGTGGTGGAGATTACAGAGGATCACGCGAACCCTAAGAGGCAAATTTCAATTAAATCTAAACTACTTGATAATCCTCATTTTGTTCCCCTTGTACTTGCATACTTTTACTTTGCATCATATAGTAAAGTTATAAAATATTTATTATAATTTTACCACAGAAAAATTTAGAGGAAGTATGAGCCATACCTAAGGAAGATTGTGTCACAATGCATGTGGTGAAGCCTATTATAATTTTTGCAAAGAAAAATTATTTATTAGTTATAAAATAGTTATTTATGTAAAAAAATATTATAAAAAAATTTAAAAATCAAAAATTTTGATCACATCTTAAATATTAAAATTGATTTTATATATTAGGAGGCGCGTACACAGGAATTTCATTGGGGAGATATTAATTCATAGATAAATTAGTTCAGTATTTATTTCTGCTGTTGAATGTGATAAATAAATGTAAATTAGATAAATAAAACTTCTATTATATATTTTTTGAAAAATTGCAGAATTTGGAATAGTTACTTTTAAGAGTTAAATTGTTATTATTATGACATTAAATCTTAATATGCAATGCAATATAAAAAATATTTATAGCCACATATACATATTATAGCTTTACATTTTTGACAAAAAAATTAACAATTAGAGTTTACTAATCTAGAAGATAATCTGAGTGTTTACATAACCCCTGCCCTGCTCATAATATTTTCTGGCTCTTCTATACATATTTATATAAATTTAATTATTTAGAGATGTGATTTTATCTAGATCAAAACCCTGATTGGTCTGAATATAGCCATAATTAAAGATAAAACTTAATAAACCACTAGCATAATATGATGGTCAATTTTATTTGAGTTATATGATATTAAGCCTAAATTTTACCTGTACGTGTGTCTCAGCATAGGTTATAAATTTTATTTCACCTAAGCAGAACTCCATATTTAATATCAACTTTATTTTATTAAAAATTTTTCGTGAATTAATAGCTGCCATCTTAGCCAATACCAATATGGCTTTATAAATATATTATCATAATAAAAAAATAGTAATTGTTTATCGAGTTTTACTTATCGTTATGGCGAAAGCGAATTTTAGACTAGTCAAGAATTGGTCAATTCGCTATAAATAATGCCAGAGAAATAATATAATAATAGAGAGATTTTTTTGCTATTTGCTTAATCTCAGGAAACTATAACGTTATATTTTTTTATAGATGTGATAAAGACCCTTTTGTTTCCAAAACGAAATTTTGTTGAATATTTTTTTTGATTTTTATGCCATATTATATAGTTAAAAGTGAATTGTAATTTAAAAAAGTGTTGTAGTTGTGAATTTAGAGAATACAAATAAATAGCATAAATAAATTAACAACTTATACTTTATTAATTAATATGAATTGTAATTAAATAAATCATAATAAAAAATAAAAAAATAAATTAATATAAGAAAAATTAAAAGATTAAAAATTATGTTCGCAAATTCATAACAAGTAAAATATCCTCGATTATATTTACTTTTCTACACTATTCATTTACATCGTCTGTACTCAAATAATATAATAATTCGTTTCGTTTCTCTGTTTAAAAGTCAATTTGAATATTACTTCCTTTTTCTCGATTTTATTTCAAAGTAAATTTACATATTGCAACAAAAAGTATTTATATAATATAAATTATGCTTAATTTGTGTTTATAACAAATTATTTATATTTCTGCAACCAGCCCTAATTTGCAAAAAAATTGATTTTCATGCCCGGCCCGAACTCCTTTTAGAAAACTGTTTTCCGATCCAGATTTCTTATTCTTGATTACTTATAGCCGTCTCGGAATTTCTGAAATTTGATTGATGTATTTTAAAAATAGTTTTATAGAAAATTAAAGAATTTTCTAAAAAATTTCTGGTCCTTAGGTCTCATATATTGCATAAATATCTGATTCATATTCTAAGCTGTTTATTCACAAATCCCTTAATAATGAAGAACCTAATATTAATATTATATGAGAAAAAGATTTCAGAATAAATAAGATCGAAGTAGGATATTTTAAAAAATGAGGTCCCATAGTGCCCCACCCTCCCTCCTAAATGGTTTAAACTCTCAATATTTATAAACTTTTTCAGGAATAAAAATTTCTTATTTTTACATGCAATCATTTATCTATTTTATAATACTAGTTGATAACTCGTCAAGAATGAAGGGAATAATAAAAATCTTTATGAAATTTTTTTTAAATACAATTTTTTATAAAAAAAAATGACAAGTGATTATTTATTCATTTTATTAAATTTAGCGTAAAATATATGAAATTATAATCAAAAATGTAGGGTAGATATTGATAAATTGGTATTGTATGTCATTTCCAGAGTTCAAATATTGTTGTTGAGATAAAATTTTTATACTGGCATATTTTGGGGTGGTAATATGAGATAAATGTTTATTTTTCAATTGGCTAAATATAATTTAAATTTATTTGTTAAATCTAAATTGTAATAAGTATTTAGGATTAGTGAGGGAGGTTCTGGCATGGGAAGATATTGATAAATAGGTATTTTATACTATTTGCAGAGATCCCATATTGTGGCTGAGATATTTTACTGCCATATGGGTGGTAAATAATTTAAATTTATTTGCTAAATCTAAATTGTAATATAAAAATAATTTTATAAAAATTAATAAATTTTACTTTGAATATAAACACTATAAGATCTAAATTATATAAATTAATTGAAAAAAATGTTAATAGCAAAATAATAACATATATAAGAAGATTATATTACAAAATTTAATATAAAAGGTGGTTGAGTGGAAGAACGTTTGCCGGTAAAACGTTAAGTCATAGGTTCGAATCCCGTGATGTACAAAAGAGATATATAGTCTCCATCGATTTATTTAACATTAAGAAGATAGGAAAGTTGATAGAAAAAATAAAAATTAACATTAAGATTATACGAAAACGTTCATTTCTTGATTACGGTGATTATATATATAGATAACAGAAAAACCCTGAAAATATAAAAGATATTTAAAAAAAACAAAAATATTAAATAAAAGGTTAGATTTCAAATGCAATTTTTACAAATAAAATTAAGGACTAAATTCACAGCAAAATAAATGAATGCTATTTCATCTATCTTGAATATAACTGTAATAATTATTCTCAAAGATAGTCCGACCATAAACCAGCGATTTTTACAATTGGGGGAAAAAAATCAAGACTTCTTATATTTAATCAATTTTTAACCCGTTAATTCAAAAGATATCTTAATCTAATTTAATTTGATTTACAGAATCAAAAAGAAACTTAAAAAATGGTATATTATAGATAAAACATTTTTATTATGAATTGTTTAAATGGGTAAATTAAAAACGAAGTTTTGAAAAAATTTATAGTATAACTGCTCCCCCCATTAAAGTTCTTGATCTATCCACAAAGTGAGCTATTCACTTTTGTATGGATCAAATACTTGTAGCAGGGGAGATTGAGGTTAGGTGATTGACTGGGCAACAATGTAAATGAGAATACCTTTTTAGCCTTCGAGCATAAAGACCTTAAATTTGGTGTAAAGGTGTATTTTTATAAATAATTTCTTTTCTATATTTATCTTTTAGAATCTCCCTGGTTTAATATATATAGTAAGAATATATCTTAATCTATAAATTATTAAATTACATTCTGGTATATTTTGCTTTTAGCAAAATCGATTTATTCGAATGATCTAAAATAATTTATTTTCTACAGATGTTCTATAAAGTCTTCGTTATAAAATAAAAATTATTGGACATTTATAGTTTAATAGATGTCAAGCAATAACTATATAATATATGATTAAAGATATTACATTGTTAATTGTTACAAGTAATTTAATTTTATACAATTAATTTGTCAATTATTGAATAACGATATTTTAATATAAATAATATGTTAGAGCAAAGCTGCAATGTGTAAAACGATTAAAATGTTTCGTCTGATTAAAGGTATTAAAAAAGAATTTTCAAATTAACCTATAATCTATATAAAAAATTCAAGCAAATGATCATTAATAAATAGTTTGTATTATATGTAATAAAAATTTTGGAAATAAAGATGAAGAAATGTGCTTAAAACCCTATCGGTGCTAATTTTAATTTCTTCATTGTATTAAGTTTTTTATAGTTAAAAGGAATAAATAAATACCAATTCTGTTTGATAAAACAATAAAGTTGTGTTCGATTTTATTTTAACCACTTTACTTAAGTACTTAGTCATCTTACCCTGGGTACTGGGTAAAATTGCAAAAATTTTACATTTCACAAAAATATTCATAGCTCCTAAAATATTGTAGGAGAGAGCCATTCTTTTTATTATTTTGTAGATGAGTGAACGAGCTGTGAATAAAGAATAATTTTACAATCAAAAGAAATTTTATATTAATATTCATATTCATATTCGATTTACATTTTTCAAAGCGAATATTTTGTTATTCTTATTCATTTATTTAGAATCAAATCAAATAACAAATCTAATCGAATAATAATTTAATCGAATAACAAATAACCGAATCGAATATTGAATAATTTTTGATTTCTTTCTCATTTAACCATTGTATCTATAAACCGAATAATTTGGTTTTAATTATAAAAAAAAAATTCCATTTGATTAACAAAAATTTGGCATATCAAAGTGGGGTTCACTCCAATAAATTAGCCTGTTTTCATAAATATCATATTAAGCCAACCTTTTTCCATTATAATCCTCCACCCCATGCGTTTCTTCCCAATAAGCCTAAGATTATCCAATAAATTTTATGGGAT